AAGGGGCCACTGTAGGGTGGGTCCACCTACCGCTGGGTGAGAGCTGCTTCTGGACACATAGCCCACGGTCGTCTTCCTGGAAGGTGGGCAGGCAGGGGCCGCAGGTGCCGGACCCTGGAGGGCAGAACTCCCGGCGCTGCAGGGCACAGTCCAGGCTCCGGGGACACAACGCTGCTGCGGGGATGGGAGAAAACAGGTCAGGAGGAGGAGAGGGGTCAAATGCTCCCCCGGGTCTGTCTGTGGCCATGGGACTCAGCTGCCCTGGGCAGCTCCCGCTGCAGTTAACAGGTGCAGCTGTGCTTCACCAGAGCTGCCCCTCAGCCCCTCTGCTTTCACGAAGCCTTTACTAACTGCAATTAAGTATGGGCTCTAATGACCTGGGAGTTGGACTCAATGATCTTTATGGGTCCCTTTCAACTCAAGATTCAGGTGTCACCATCCCAAGCCCCAGCGTGCTGCAGGACACCCTGAGCAGAGCTCCTGCAGAGCTGGCAGCGATGAGCATCTCCAGCACCTGCCTGCACCATGCAGGCAGTGGCCTAGCAGGCTGGCAGCTGAAATCCAACCAACACAAACCAATGCTCGTGTGGTAACTGTCAAACAAAAAAAAAACCCAAACCAACACCCCCACAAAGCCTCAGCATAGCTGTGACAGGTCATCACAGACAGGAGCAGCAGTTTCAGTTTCTATGCCTTTTGACATTGCAACAGGGGAAAACGGAGGGACCCAGGCCTCCCCTGGTGACCTCCCTCATGGCTTTATGGGGCACCTCATTTCCATGCCAGACCTGGGGACCTCTCTGGTACCTAGGGACAGGCAAGGGCCCCCCACACTCTGACCTCATCTGTACCCAACACGCTTGTGATGCCATGGCAGTCTGCCATGGCCAGGAGCAGCCCTGTTCCTCCCCCAAGCCTGGCTCAAGCCAGTGGGACCTCCTGGTGGGGGGGACACAAAGTCCCTGGGTCCTACACAAAGCCAAGTCCTGAGACCAGGTGATGTTGGCAAACCGTGTGCAGAGATGGAGAGAGGAACGGTGACCAGCCAGGACAGTGACACGCAAGGGCCAACGCACAGGTCCTACCTGCGGCGTGGGGCTGTGGGGATAGTCTGGGGTCCCAGCTTTCAGCTACAGCAGCAGGACCTGCTGCCACGGACAGTGACACTGCTGGCACTGCTGCGGCACAAACACAGATGTCCCTCCCCCATGAGCTGGTGGCATTGCGGAGCCGGGTACTGCTCAGTGTGTCTGTGTCCTGGGCTGGGCACAGCTGGATTGGGGGCGTGCACAGCTTGGGGAGGGGGGGTACACAGCTGAGTGGGGTGCACAGCTGCCCAACCCTGCTCTTCACCTTGCCATGCATGGCCATGTCCACACCTTTCTTGCAGGCAGCAGCAGGCAGGACAGCACCACTGTGGGGCCCTCACCGGGAGCAGGGCCAGGCCTGGCCGCCCCCAGCCCGGCGATGAGTCACGGCAGGAGCCGGCTCCCAGCGCTGTCCTACGCTCCCCGAGTCGTCCCTGTCAGCCCTTGCCTGCCCACGCCAACACCATGGGCAAAGCACCTGCTGTCTGCCTGTCCCCGTGCCCTGGGGGACGGCAGTACCGGGGACAGCCCCAGCGCACCACGCACCCCACGAGAAGGGGCACCCCAACTTTGGGGGCTTTCCCGAGCACCCCCATCCCTGCAGCACACCAGGGTTGAGGGGGACAGCCGCTGCCGTGCCCAGACATGGCATTGTGGAGAGTCCTGGCACAGGATGGCTCCAGGGCCACCACAGCAGCTCTGCTTCCCCAGCAAGGGTGCAGGTGTCAAGTGGGATGCCACCCCAAAGCAACACATGTGGGATGCTGAGCAGGATACCACCCACAACAAATCCCCCTTTGCACAGCCCTATTTCACCATGCTCACCGGAGGGTGCAACTGCTACCAATGGCCCCCAGACTCCTCCACGCTGCACCCCATGGTGCACTGCATTCATCACACTCCGGTTGACAGTGCCAAAGAAAGGCAGAGCTGCCTTTGCTGCAGTGGTTTCTCTTGCAGGCAGGATTTTCTTGGCAGCTGCAATTAGGGTGGCAATTTGTGTTGGCTGAACCTTGCACCAGGTACAGCAGCCTGGAGGGGATTTGCTCAGGGCAGAGGGCAGAGGTACCCATGCCCGCAGGAGCTGCGTTTGCTCCCTGGGGATGGTGTGAGACTTGGCCAGGCAGCTGGGGGAGAATTAATGCTTAATGGGAAAATAATCAGGCGTTTAAGCACAGAAATTGGACCCGGCCGCCTGCCCTGGGCTCGCTCTTAAGGCCACTGTTTAAAAATCACAAAACAATCAAAACATGCAGCTGCTCAGGTACAAGAGGAGGTTTTGGCACTGTGCAGCCCCAGGGGTGGGGACGTGCCACATCCCCGTAGGGCACTGGGGGACAGACCAGAGATCCCCACCTGTGCCATGGATCCACGGAAGCACGTCCCCCCAAAACAGGCACTGCCGAGAGCTGTTCACTGGCAGGAGGAAGCCACCCTGGCGCAGGTCACCGGGCACTTGCAGCCACCCAGCACCATGAGACCCTGTCGGGACTCTCAGAACCACCTCAGAGCCACCTCAGGGCAGCGGGAGGGGGCGGCCCCGAGCCAGCGCGCAGCAACCGGTTAAATAAACCCCAGCCTGGAACATATAAAAAGTTGTTATCTCTGTTTGAGGAACGAGCTGTGCTTGCCCAGCTGTCACGAGCTGGGATTAGGAGCGAGACAGGCAGGCACTGATCTAATTAAGCTCCCCATGCGTAATCAATTGGTGGTTGGCAAGCAGATATCACACATGGGCACCCTGCAGGATGAAGGGTCCTGCAGGAGCTTTGCCATTCTCTGAGCCCACCCCAAAGCCCAGCGGCTGCTCTCTGGCTGGGCTGGTGGGTGAGAGTGGGCACCTCCATGCCAGGCCGGGTGCCAGAGCACAGTGAGCACTCCCCATGCCAGCACTCAGGAGCCATGGGGGCATCCCTGACTGCTGCCACCCTGGGGAGCTGCCATCCACCCAGCCCTCCCTGCCCCAGCCCTGCACAACCACACGTTCCCAGGGTGGCTGGTGCCACCCTGCCCAGTGCTCCAGCAGGCAGGCAGTGGGGTCCAGCTCCTGTTTCAGGGTGTACCTGACCCTCCCCACCACCCCTTGGCTTCCCCAGACCCGGCACAGCACCCTGGCCATGGGTCCCCCCTCCCACACACCCACCCCAAGGTGGGTGTCAGGGCTGACACAGTACGTACATCCCGTTTCCACCCCCGCAGTGGCTATGCCATGGCCATGCTGCCCACCTGCACCAGTACCAGCATGCAGGCTGCAGCCCCCCAGTCTTGCCTCTGCTCCTGTGGGGCTGCTGTCGAGTCTGGGAAAATTTGGGATCCCCCCCACCGCAACCATGCTCCCCGCTTGGCATCAGTGCAGCCCAACATGGGCAGCTCCGCTGGCTGCTGGGGCAGGAGGGACGGCCTGGCCATGGGTGGGATGGGGAGGAGGGACCCAGGCTGGTCCCAGGGCACAGGGACACAGCAGTTGCAGCACAGACCCACCTGCAGGATGGCGAAAACCAGCTGTAAGGCGAAGTGAAAGGAGCATGCAATAACATGGAGTCCGAAGCTAGCACCGGCCTCAGCACAGCTGGCACACCACTGCCCAGATGTGCCGGGGGGATCTGGAGGAGGGGGATGCTCCATTTAACCGCTGTCACCATGGCTGCCACAGTGCAAACCTCCTGTGCAGGTGGGCAGCAAGCCCAGCTCAGCACAGCCAGAGGTAACCTGTTAAACTGGGCTTTGGGCTGGGACAAGCCGCTGGTGCTGGAGAAAGCAGGGTGGCTCCCTACAGGCAGAAACGCAGCCAGGAGCTGAGCCCAAGGCCAGCGGGTGAGCAGGACACCGTGCAGCCAGCACGGAAAGACAAACAGTGGGGGAGCATGAGCCAGGGATGTGTGTGAGTGGGAACAGCCCCATACACAGGAGGAAACACTGGTGTGCGAGCTCTGAGGTGTGCACACACATGCACACCCCCCCCCGGCATGTTATCTGCTTGGGAAAGCTCAGCACATCGCCCTCAGCCCCAAGGACCCATCCTGGGGAGAACCGTGCCGGGCAAGCAGAGTGCCCACAACGGGGGGTGCCTGCTGCACCCCTCCAAATGCTGTAGGGTCCAGCAGCGTCTCACCATGGCCAGGCAAGGCATGGAGCTGCTGGCAGTCATGGCCCTGGGTGAAGCGGTTTTTCAATACTTGTGCCAAAACATACAGGTGGGAAAAAAAAACCCCAAACCAGTAACACCAGGGAGGACATCCAGGTGGCCAGAAAGGCAGGAACTGCCCCTGCTGTGTCACTGCTGCAGATAGAGAGATAAAAGTGAACTTAAGAGGATAATTAATTAGTGCTGAGCACCGGTCCAACTGCTTCCGCTTAGTGCATGGGCAATGCCAACGCCCAGCCTCCTGGTTGATCGGGCCCTGGTGCCAGTGGCATGAGCTGGCAGAGCCGAATGGGCATCAGCTGCAGTGGATGAGCAGGTACGGAGCTTGCACCTGCCTGCTGGGAGCAGCCTGCCCCAGGGCCGTGGGGGTCCAGCCCCGCATGGCAGCAAGTGCATGGGGCCATGCCAGGCTTGGGGGGATATCAGGGTGCCTGGGGAACAGGGGTCCGCCCCCACGTTGAGCCTCTGCACGTTGGCACACGGCTGCAGGCGAAGGGATGACTATGGCCAAGGGCACGGCAGATCGCCAGCAGCCCACATCTGCACGGTGTCTGCCAGCTCCACTCCAAGGTCACTCCTCCTCCTCCTCTGGCCAGGTGACATGGGACCTGCTGCGGGACCTGCCTGCAGCCTGCCTGCCCTCCCAGCACTTCTGCTGTGAGCTGGCACTGTCTGGGGCTCTCCTCCTGGCTCTGCAAATTGTTCCTGGCTCTGAAGTGCTGGAGCCAGCCCCGGGCAGGCAGGCAGGCAGGCGTGCTGCCACACAGCACACCCCAGCCCCCAAGGTCTTGCTTCCCTCTGCCCTGCAGCCTCCCCAGGGCAGGGGCAGATGCTCCAAAAGCCCCAGTGCCACTCCCCCCGTGCCCAGAGACACAGCCCCTGGGGTGAGCTGGGTGGTCACACCTCAACTGCCAGTGGCCAAAATAATAGAGCAAAAGCCA